GTACGTACCATATGTACCGTATGTATCTTCTCTTAGTGGATTCAACATTCCACCCACTAAAAGCAGAGCGGTGACGAGGTGGCACCAACCTTCGCTGGATCATGGGTCCGATTGTTTTTTACGAACTGGCCGGTACGATAGTGCATGAAGACCGAGACGACACAATCTTTTAGTACAGGACTTCCTGTACAATGCAGTACGGCGCGGTTCGAAACTCGGTCATTGAATAAGTYTTCGAAATTAGGGAGCTGGAGGATCTTCAAATATATCTCCTTTCCTTACGTAACAATGCACGTATGTGCTTCAAAAMAACTGCGTACGAGTACGCACGGGTACGTACTCGTACCTTATGATAGTTTCGTACGAGTACGAGTACTCATACCCTTCCTCGCGTGTCGCTAAGTGTTTCTTATTTTTCCTTATGRAGGATTTTAAGTTACGTAGATTGTACGAGGAGATACATGTGTGTCCTTTTCGTCCCTGCCTGCTTGGAGGAACCTGTAGCGYACGTAACCCCCTTCGTAGATGTTCGCACCTTCAGTTGTCTGGTTGGAGAGTCGAGAGCCGGGAATATCGCTGCCGACGCCTTCTTTCGCACCGACTCCAGTCACAAAAGACTTAGCAGCAGCAGACGCCTAATTCGTACCGGTTCCAACCTTCAAGGAAAACCTGCCACTCAGAATCTTTYTGTGATAAGCAATGGGGTGTGACAACTCGAAGCCAGAAGTCACTAAGAAGACTAGCGTCGCAACGGGACAAGAAGTAGCAGATGTACGTGACCAATATCCAAACAAAATATCCAAACAAACCGAAACGGATCGCGCGCACCGGATCAAAGCATCTCGCAAACAATGATMTCTTGCGGCCCTCCGGCCCGCAGGTGATGGTATTTGCGTTCATGCATACCAGCACAGATTCAAGCCCTTGCTTTCGCTTGGCGTTAAGCTTCTGATGATGGTCGTTTTTGAGTCGTTGTTTTGTTGTTTGTTATTTCGTTCTAGCTCGATTGGTAATTCAAGCAGCGCAACACAATGCATTGCTTTAAAGGATCATTGCAACGTGGTGTCACGCCGTGCCGTTCTGCCGCTGGCTKTCGTATCTTCTCTCGGCATTGCTTGATTTTGATCTCTCTTTCTCTCCTCTCACGTAACACAACACAAAMACTCACCATAATCAGTACATCTCAAATTTAATCRATCAGAACRAAGACAAAAGAAAAATGGCGAGGGAAGCAGAACAGGAGAAGTCGAGAGCCGCCATCAAGTCTCGGGAGGAGCAGATTCAGCTGCACACCGAGGCCCGAACGAAAAACAAGGACCGTCAAGCCCTTAAGGGTCGAGTCCTCGACTTCGACAATGACTTTACGGCTCCGTGCCACCCYAAATCGGAAGCAGACGCCGCATTTCTCGACGCGGCGCTTGGATCGAACTTTATCTTTTCGGATCTTTCCGATGCGGAACGARAGATGCTAATCGACGCCATGCAAGAAGAAAAAGCTYCCGAGGGCAAAATGATCATCACGCAGGGCGAGGACGGAGACTTTTTCTACATTTGCCAGAGCGGAAAAGTCAATTTCATCTGCGACGGAAAGGCTGTCGGATCTTGTGGAGCCGGTGGCTCTTTTGGAGATCTCGCCCTGCTGTACGATTCGCCCCGAGCAGCATCGTGTATGGCGGCAGACGACACGAAACTCTGGAAGGTCGACCAGCATACCTTCCGSCACTTGCTGGCSAGATCCGCCAAGGAACTCGAGGGCAGCATMATCGAAGTTTTGTCAAAGATTGATTTGTTTAAGGACCTCGATCGCCAAACGGTAACCAAGTTTGCCGACGTGTTGAACACCGTCAAATACCAAGAGGGACAAAGAATCGTCGAAAAGGGACAACAAGGCGATGTCTTTTACATCGTGAAGAGCGGCCAGGTGCGGGTGCATGATATTGGTCTGGGAGACGCCTCTTTTGACGACAAAGTCCATGGGGCGGGATACTGGTTCGGAGAACGCGCCCTGATGACCGGAGCCCCCCGTGCCGCCACAGTGACTGCCATGACCGATGTCGACGTCTTTGCCTGCGACCGTGCCACCTTTGAGTCCACGATGGGATCACTGGAAAGCATTCTAGGAAAGGCTTCTCGAAAGAGATTCGTCAAGTCGGTGCCAATTTTCAGCAACTCCATGCTSACCGACCTGGAATTCGACCGCCTGGTCTCCATGCTGAAGGTTCGCAAGTACAACAAGGGACAGAAGCTCGCMGAGGCCGGCAAGGTCGGTGACAATCCTTCTCTGTGGATCGTGAAGGAGGGAAAGCTGATGATCACAGAGAAGACCGGAAAAATTTTCTTCTCTAGTTCCGGAGATTACTTCGGTGACAAGGCCGTCCAGGCTGATGGGGAATACGTCAGCACCGCAACCTGCGTCGTCGAGGAGGATACCGTTTGCTGGAGATTGAAAAAAAGCGAAATTGAATCCGTCATCGGAGACATTAATCGTCTCGGAAAGCCGATCCCCTTCACACCCAAGGCCTTTGATTCGACCATTGGTATCGCTGACATCAGGAAGCACAAGATGCTTGGAATGGGTGCGTTGCCTAATTAGAATGAGTTGTTGTTCTCTATCGCCTCAGTTGAAGCCACCACTGTTGTTTGTGATTTCTAATTTGCTCACGCTTGTGTTCTGTGTGCGTACAATATTCTTTGAATTTTGTCTTGTTGTATTTTGCTTCGGTATTTGCCTGATGATTTGATRACCTGATCTGATACGACGTAATGCATATTTTTAGGTGCCTTCGGAAAGGTTTGGTTGGCTACTACCCGTGGCAGCCGCAAACCGTACGCACTGAAGATGATCACAAAGCGACAAGTGATCGAAGCCGGTCAGGTTAAGGGTGTCTTGAGAGAGAAGCAAATCATGGCTTCCATCGAGCACCCCTTCATCTTGCCCCTGAATGGTAGTTTCCAGGATGCCGACTTTTTGTACCTGCTCTTGCCTGTCCATCAGGGAGGTGAATTGTTCAACGTCGTCCACACGAACGACCGGGATGGATTGGACAACGATGCCTCGCAGTTCTACGGGGCTTGTATTCTCGAGGCACTCGGTTATTTGCACGCCAGAAACATTGTTTACCGCGACATGAAGCCCGAGAATGCCCTCATCGACAAGGACGGCTACTGCATCATGGTGGACTTTGGATTTGCCAAGATCGTGGTCGACAAGACTTACACTCTATGCGGAACACCCGAGTACCTGGCGCCCGAAATCATCATGTCCAAGGGTCACGACAAGGCAGTCGATTACTGGTAGGTAGCTTGCACCCTGTATTTTGTTTTCCTTTGCTTTTGCAACCCATGCTCATCACGCTGTTTCCGTTTTCCCTCTGTAGGAGTTTTGGGGTCTTGATCTACGAAATGCTTGTTGGTCAATCCCCCTTCTACATGTACGGCACTGACCAGGTCAGTCTCTTCAAGCGCATCGTYATGGTGAAATACCAGTGCCCGAGCTACGTGAGCGACGATGCCAAGGACCTTCTGAAGAAGCTCCTGACCAGACGCCAGGCCTCCCGATTTGGGAACCTGAGCCGGGGACACCTCGACATCGTGGACCACCCCTGGTTCAAAACGCTCGACTTCGCTAAGCTCAACGAGCGCAAGCTCAAGGCACCGTTCAAGCCCAAGATCTCGAATCCACTCGACACACGCAACTTCGACGACTTTTCGCGGGTGGAAAAAGAGAAGTACCGCGGCAAGGCCCTCTCCAAGAAAGAGCAGGMKCTTTTCAAGGATTTTTGATTAAACACAGCAGCACTTWAGTATAGTTTCTTATTTTTARTGGCATAGAAGTTCTTTGTTGCTCGAACGCATCGCAGTGATACATGGGCCAAATATGTTTGTGCGTGACCTTGTACGTGTGTAGAAAATACAGCAACGAAATACGGCAGCAAATGSTATGAGCATGCATCGATACGATTTGTTTGCAAAATAAGTCAAGTTTACTGTCTAGGCAACTGGTGCTCGGGGCTTGCCAGCCCCAACACATCATTACTGCCAAAACATCAAAGGTACAAAAGTCATGGATAGAGACTCTTGTGTGTACGTAACAAGTCGCTACGGCCGAGAGGTAGCTTGTCAGGGGAAATTTAAGCACGGTGATTCTATAAAATTATGCATGCAAATRAAGTGTWAACGAAAAGGGAGGCCTCTWKAAAACGGACTMGGATTGGGACGCATCGTAACGCATCACAGTGTGCCGGATTCCCGGTAGGATGCCAGGAGCGGACTCACGCCCAGATCGCGAGCATCGACATAAGGCAATACCCACCCAAGAAAGACAGCRCGATGAGCGGCGTTTGTAGCCGCTGCTCCCCAATGGTCTCCAGCTCGTCCGGGATGATCTCGATCGCCGCCACGTACAAAAAGCTGCCCGAGGTGACGGCGACGACGATTGCGGACCCGAGGCCCCCGGTGGCCGCCGACAGGGCCCATCCGACCCCGATCCCGACCAGGGTCAGCCCAACAAAGAGGCCCGTGCTGGCGTAGAAGTACTTGCGCTTGGATGGATCACCCCAGTAACCGCACTCCACGAGCGAGTTCGCCAGCGCGTAGGCCGTAAAGCTCTTGTGGAAGGCAATGGCCACGAAGGACGACCGGATGGCGCTGACGTCGTCGGTCGCACCGACCCCAATGCCCTCGATAACGGTGTGGATGCTGAGGGCGATTGTCAGAACGACCGCCGTCAGCGGGTCGATGTCCTCGTTTCCGATCACGGCATGAAGATCTTGGTGGCTCAAATTTTTGCTCAAAGAGGGGCGCTGGTTCCCTGCCTTCTGTTGGCCATCGGTGGGAACAGGAACGGCCTTGSTTTCGATCTCCTTGGTGTCTTTGCTTTGGTCCTCGGCGCTGCCACCGGGATCGACAACCACCTTCATCTCGGAGGGTTGGCTGGTGCCACTGGCACCSAGATCCGGCTTCTGTTCCTGCTTCTCGTTCTTTGCCCGGCTCCCGGCTTCTGCCCTGCGGAGGGCCACGTCCCGGACCACCATCTCGACGCACACCAGGACCGCCACCGTCAGGCCGCTCACGGCGTAGCTCCACGGGAAGGAGGTCGCACCGGCCTCCTCGAATCCCTCCGTGCTGTCCCCGAGGAGGTGGACGAGGCCGCCTGCCAGCAGAACCCCGGCGCTGAACATGACGCCGGAGCTGACCCATAGCTGGTTGGCCCGCTCCCTCAGGAGGATCGCCGCCGCAAAGCCCGCGAGCGAGAGCAAGGTGAAGACCGCCATGGAGAGGCCCTTCCACGCCGATGCTGAGAGCGCCATGGTGAGTGTTAGTGTTTGTCTTTGTGCGTCTTTCTTTTTTTCTTGAGTTTTTGTGCTACGTGCTATTCAGTTTGTAGTAGGAACAATYATTCGGTRTGCATTGTTACTGAATCACTACAGAGCGACACCAATTTGTGTGGATTTCGGGAGCCTAAGGAAAAATCTGGCGAAAAGTCAAGAGATGTCATCACCACACTTTTTGTGAAGGCCTAAAAAATGGATGYACTTTTTTGTGCGCAAAATCTTCTTCGTKGAATTCAGTAGGCCATTCTTTGGTCTCATTCCAACCAAGGTGCCGTCCGTGAAAATTCCCATGGCTTCATATTGGTGGGAATCTGTTTTTAGTTTTAATCAATCCTCGAGACGCGAGACCCCGGTGTTTTGATTTTTTTGACTAGAAGTACGTACTACATACGAGTACAACGCACGTTGCGTGTTGCCGCCGGTACATGCATGATTGTTCTCGAATGGGTCGGTAAAGTATCAATAATTTATTCGACTARTTCGATTCGTTCAAACCTGATGGGTCGACGACACAAATTTTGATGGTCGTTTGTTGCTCATAACCTGGAAAATGTACTTGTGGTCTTTAGTGCCGTATCTACGGCAGGGGTCATAATTTAGACCCCTGATCTACGGTACGTGTTTACAATGGATTACAATAGAGTGAGCTTATTCACTATCTTCTCGTGATTTAGGCTCACACTTCCAACCGATCCTATCTCCAAAKTCGATCATCAAATAATTTTGGCATGAGCAGAAACAGAAACCAATTCAAACCTAACTAAACCAATCCGAGGCAAACAAAAACCCAAGCAGCGATAGATTCCAAAGAATTYACAGCACTCTGCTTCAAACACAATAAATACGAATAAAAATGGTTCTTGGAGCACGTTTTTTCGTTTCGAAACCAGTCGCCTTTGGAGAGAACGGATTTGAATTTCAATGCAGACTCTTTCACAAAATACAATCCTTGGGTGAAACGCCAAGAAACACAAAAAGCTGAAACATCTCGATCATACTATCAYATAAGCATGGTGTACAATACCGAGTGGATAATTTCGAGCCGCAACCAAAAAACGGGTCCGCTGCTTTCGTCGTCGTCGTCGTCGTCTTTGCCGGGGCCCCAGAAAGGCGGCGAGAGGTTTTCTTGCCCCGGAGGGGGCTACCTCCAAAGGGTCGGGGAGGCTCTCTCGAGGGCCCTATCGGGCATGGATTCCTGGGACGGAACCGGCGCCTTCCACCGCCTCGTCCGGCCCCACGTCGAGCTGGGTACRGCCCCCGTGGCGTCCGAGCGCATCGAGAACCTGCAGCGGATCCGGCGGTTTCGTCCGGCTGCTCCGCCTCCTACCAGCGGATCCATTAAAAGTGRAAAGGGCACCACCGCCCCGAGGGAATCCTGTCTGATCGAGGCGACCAGCAACTCCGTCCGGGTGTCCTTCCTCTTCAAGGCCCAGGCCAAGGCGGAGGCCGCAAACTCTTCCGCGGATCCACTCGAGGCCACCATCTTGTTCCAGTGGATGAGATTTCTCTCGCTGCAGCAGCAACATCCGCTGCTGCGCAAGCGGCCGCTCGATGGATACTCCRTCACCTTTCTGGTTACGAACAAGCACCTYGCGGTCCACGGGAAGGGAGGAAGCCGGGCCATAGAGGAGTCCATCCTGGGGTTTTGTTCCCGCATCGACAAGGAGTGCAGCGACATCAAGCTCCAGGTAAACGCGCAGGCACGCTKCGTCACCTCGGAGTTCTGCAAGGCCTTCAACSAAACGGACGCGACCGCTTCGTCTTCCGCAGGCTACAAGAGCAGCTCGGGAGTTGCGCTGGCAAACGAGTAGCAACAACCCATTTTGCAGGAGAAGGGATCACTGACAGCATTGCCATGCCGGATGTTGTTGGAGTCGCAAAGATAACCACCATGTACCGTAGTATTAGAATCATTGAAACACAACAAAATAAATKTATTGCGTCAAATATTAATTTTAATTGCGTAATTTAAAAGCTTCTTTGCMATCCACGGGGCAATCACAGCGTGACGTACTGCCCGCAGACGACCGACCGGACCGCAAAAAAGTCCTCGCACAGGGGCCCCTCGACGTCGATCTTCCCGGCCTTTTCGCTTTCGTTGGACCACTTTTTCACGACGATGCGCCCGTTGACCACGAGCTGCGAGTACCCGGTGTGGGCGCTGTACTCGGCCTTCATCCCGTGCTGGGCGATCAGCTCCGTCCKCAGGTCCGTCAGGAGGACCTCGCCRTCGCTCACGTAGACCGGGGGCCGCTCGAGCTCCCGGTCAAAAACGGACGAGGACGAGGACAGSGACGGCGCCCCGCCCGCCGTGGCTTTCTTCTTGTTCTTGGGGGCAATCACGATGGATCCGTCCAGGGCCACCTTCTGCCCCGTCATGACAAAGTCGAGCATGCTGACGGTGCAGGGTCCGATCTTCGTCTCGACCAGCTCGATGGGATCCGGRACGGATTCCTCCGCGAGTCGYTCCTCCTTTGTCCGGAAGGGCGTTGCCACCAATCGCGCCGGATAGGCGTTGTGGCCGACCCTCAGCTCCACCGTCTCGCCGTCCGAGGGCGTCCGGACCGGCTCGTTTCGGCTGACCACGAATCCCTGTGCCGCGTCGGCGAGCGCCCGGACCTCGTCCACCAGCAGCTCGGAATCCCCGGGACCGTCTTCGGTCGCCATCGCCACCGGCTCGCCGGTTTTGCGGCCCCCCAGGACCACCACCTGCCGGGGCTGCAGGGCGCGGACCGACTGGCGGGCGGCMCGGGAATCGACGCGGCCCTCGAAGGGAACGTAGTCGATTTCCGCCACCACCTCGATGCGCCGGTGGACCGTGCTGACCTTGGTCGGGGGCCGACCGTTYCTCCCCCGGACGATCCCGTTTCCCTCCGAGAGGTCGATGGACTCCATTCCGCGCTCGTCCATCTCGTCGTCCGTGTCGCCGCCGTCTCCGTCGCCCTCGTCCAGGCCGAGGTCGTCCTTGCGGCGGCGCTTGGTYCGGCTTKTCTCGCCGTCATTGGAGGACGTTTTTCCGCCGCCAATGGAAGCTCCCCCMGACGCCGCGTAGCCGAGGCCCCGCTTGCTGATCTCGTCCTTCTGGGCCCCGAACTTGGACGGGTCGACCCCCGTGACAATGTCCCGGAACTGGTCGTGCCGGACGGAAATCCCGTAGTCGTCCTCCAGKACGTCCCCGGCGCCGGGCTCGAGGGATTCCCCGATCCCAAACCTCGCMGTCAGGTCCTGCTGGCCGACCCCGACGGCGTCCTCCCGGAGCTCGAAGGTCAGGTGGAGGGGCTTGCTGAACTTGAGAAAGAGGGAGGAGTCGAACCGCGATTTCTTCTTGCGGAAAAAGGGCAGGTGGGCCGCCTTGGAGGGGGCCGACGAAACCGCCGAGGAGCCGGCGTCCCCGCTGGKGCCTCCGGCCCCCTGGGCCCCGCCGCTSCCGTTGTCCTCGCCCAGCCTCAGCCGGCCCTTGGCCAGCTCGACCTCCCGGAGCATGGCCCGCTCTTCCTCCTTCTTGCGGCGGGCCAGGCGGGAGGCCTCCTCGCGCTCCAGAAAGACCGCCAGCTCGTTCCCGGCCAGGGGGGTCCGCCGCGGGACCAGGACGTCGACCTCCACCACGTCGTCCATCTCCCGGTCCTGGGCCTGGGCCAGGGCCCAGTGCCGGAGGAGCTGGTAGGCGACGGTGAACCGAGAGGCCTCGCCCTCGCCGATCGGCCGCCCCACCATGGAGTCCTCGATCTCGTCCGCCCCGTGGTCGCCGGCCTCGTTGCCCGCCGCTTGGGGAGCCCCGGCCTCCACCCCCCCACCGGGAGCGGTGGGCTTGGCGGARGTGCCACCGGCAGAAGGGCCACCGGACGCGGCGGCGGTTCCTTCGGCCGAAGCAGCGGTGGCCCTCCCCCCGGCGTCGTCTTGTTGCGGCTGCCGGAAAAGGGCCGTTTGCTTCGCGGCCCGTTCCAGGCACCGGCTGGAATCCGTAAAGACCACCGCGTTGTTGTCGTTGTCGGCCCACCGCAGAAAGAGGTCCCGGGCCGGGCCGTGGTCCAGGGTGAGGCCRTTGGCCAGGACGCACGTGGGGTTGTCGTTGGAGTCCGCCAGGACCTTGTCCAGCTCGGCCAGGTTGGTGCAGAGCGACACGTTCCGGAGGAGGTAGGGGTGCTTGCCGCGATCGATGGCCTCGTCCCCCTTGCCCCGCTTGGGGCGGGAGGAGGACGAAGAGGACTCGAAGATGTGGTTCCCCAGCTGGGAGTTCATCCACTCCAGCTGKGACCGTCCGAACTCGAGCGTGTTGTGGACCATGGGACCGAACCACACCAGGTTGTAGCTCCCGCTCAGGTTTTCCCTGGCCCAGAACCGGTTGAGCAGGAGGACCAGCTCCAGGGCCCGGCCGCTGGCGTCYACCGGCAGCAGGACGTTCGCGTCCCGGCGCAGGAGCCCCAGGATCCGYTCCGTCAGGTCCCTCCGGGCCCTGGAGACGAGGGGGGTCGACCGGAGGGGCCTGCCGGGCCCGCCGCTGCTCCCGAAAGCAGCCACGCTCGCTCCCGCGCTGTACAGGCYRTTCACCAGCGGAAAGGCCGGCCCCCCCGGCCGGGTGACGAGGACGTCGGCTCCCGTCCCCTTCTGGAGGAGGGTRCAGGCGTCCAGGTGCAGCTCCCTAGCAATGTGGTAGGCGTTYCCGGTGAYKACCACCGCCGTGTTGTCCCGGAGGCGCTCCAGGCGGTAAAAGGCCCCCCCGACCACGTGGCCCCCCCGGTGGGCCGTCACSGACAGGCGGGGGGCACCGCCCGGATCCCCGGCCGCCCGGTGTTTCTYGAGGGGCAGGGCCAGGGGCTGGGAGTACTTGATGGTCCGGAGCATGGCCACCGCCCGGTCCATTTCCTCGAGGGTGTAGGGGGGCCGGCCCCCGTCCAGCGAGAGGTTGGCGTGGTGGTCGTAGAGGGTCATCTGCCCCATCTTGACGGTCGGAAAGGTGGCAAAAATGGGCGGGAGGCTTTCGAGGTCGTTTTCGCCTCCGCCTCCGCCTTCGCTGCTGCGCTGTTGCCGCTGTGGCTCGAGGTCCTCCCCGCCGGTCCTCTTGGACAGCGAGGATCGCCGGACCCCCCTGGGGTTCCCGCTGCCCTCCGTGCCGCCGAGTTCCTTCCGGCGCCGCTCCGCGGCCCTCCGGCATCCCTCCACGTAGAGCGGGAGGGACCCCATGGATTCCAGGGTGGAATCCGTCAGGACCAGGCAGTCGTGGGGCGGCAGGTTTTCCCAGAACGAGTATTGGTGGTCGCTGGGTGTGGGATCGACGACATTGTTGTTGTTGTTGTTGTTGTTGTTGCTTTCGTGCTCGTTCTCTTGTCGCTGGCTGCCGCTGTTGTTGCTGATGCCGCTGTCCCCGTGCCTCAGCCCCACGTCCACCAGCACCCGGACGTCGGCGTATTCGACGAGGGTGCAGGATCCCGATCGGGCGGCCCCGGAGGGATCCCATCGGCTTCCGTACACGGGCGTGACGCGAAGCATGCCTGCCTTTCCAAGCTTCTTGTTGTTGTCCTTGTTGTTGCTGTTGTTGTTGCTGTTGCTGTTGTTGCTGCTGCTGCTGCTGCTGTTGTTGCTGTTGTTGCTGTTGTTGTCGCGTGTGGGTTCCCAGAAAGTGTTGGTCTACGGATCCACTGCGCGGAGGAATGCTGCTCTCTGTCTGGCGTCTCGTCCTCCGAAGTAAATCTGTAAGCTTTCTTTGAGCGATATAGATTTCGTTCCTGCCAAAAACGGCCTCTCGTCGGGATCGTCGTTGCTCCCTGCCGCTTCGGTAGTCGTCGTTGTTGTCTCTCGATGCGTTACGGACGCTTCGTTTTGATTGATCCCCCGAGCTTGGCACGGCTAGGACCATGATTACCGTAGAACTAGAGTTGTACGGTACGGTACAMTACGTACCAAGTACGGTAAGATGAGTAGTGTGAGGGGAGGATCGGTAGATTTTATTTTATTTAACCTTAACTCTAAATGTAAATGATCGTTCTTGTGATTCGGAAAATACGAAAAACTTGAAATATTTACGCAATTCGCAATTCGCAATGGACAATGGATACCAACTTGGTCTTTCGCAATGTGTGGCAGCAACAGGAAGTCGGGTTGCACCTTTACGATTGATAGTTCTCGTACTCCCGCTACCTTTTTCTCTCGTTTCGTTGAATTGAATACTAGTGGAACGACGAAAAGGAAGGAGGAGGGACGGCGAGTGCACACAGTTTTTGTGCAAAAATCAAAGATTCCTGCTTCCCACGAGGTGAAGACAGACCACCGGGATCGATTTTTGTGAAGCAGTGTGTGGCTCGATTGCTATGCATCTAGTTCGTACGTTCGAGAAAGAATCGGCGCGCTTTGGTATCAAGAGAAAACCGCAATTTCTATAAGGCTAGGATTGAAACGAGTGCTTTTGTGTCTAATCATTGTTGTTATCATTGCCATCGATGCGATGCGATGCGATGCGATGCGATGCGATTCGATGCGATGCGATTCGATGCGTTCTAGAGTGCCGCTCCCGTACCGCAAGTTGCGCATCACAAACCCCCGAGGCCGAGGCACCCCGCGATGGACCCGGGTCGTTTTTTTTTTGGGGGGGGGGTGTTACAACACCGGCGCGGTGGTTCGTTTCCCATCGCAATCGGTGTCGCAATCGGTGTCGCAACCGGGTGCGCTCGGAAGGGATCCTTCCGTCCCCCGGACACTGCCCGGCCGGCCGCAACGGGAACAAGGGATCCCATTCCGAATGGTCGTTTCTGTTTCTGTTTCTGTTTCGCCCCTTCCATCGGCCAAAGAACGGCGCCGCCCTTTGTTACCGAAAGGTGTTGAGGATCCGGTGGGCCGACCACCTCCAGGCGATCAGGACCGTCAGGCTGTCGACGACAAAGAGGAGGTCCGACTGGGTCAGGACCACCTGGCTGGGCGGGTGGCACTGTCCGCAGACCAGTGCCTGGAGGGCCGGGAAGTGGCCGGCCAGGCCCTCGGCCCCGGCGGCGCACCAGGCCAGCAGCAGGGCRGCCGTCGCCCAGGTCTCGACCGTCTTGGTGAGGGCCTTGTCCCCCCCGCAGTAGGTCGAGTTGTCAAAGGAAAAGGACCGGTGCAGGTAGCCGGCCACCAGCCAGCAGGTGCACAGGGCGACGCAGGCCGATCCCTCCGTGCTGAGCAAAATCCCCCAGTGGTTCATGAGGGACTCCCGGGCGGTCACCTCCAGGGCGTGGTCGACCGAGGGGTTCCCAAAGGGAACGTTGGGGTTCGAKGCCAGGTCCACCCAGACCGGCGTCTGGAGCTTCACCACCGTCTGCAGCGGGTCGAGTTCCCTGACGGCCTCGGGGATGGTCAGGGAGGGGTCCTCCAGGAGGCCCCCCACGATGGCGTCGTTGATCGAGTGGCTGGTAAAGGCGTACAGAAAGAGGGTGAAGATGTCCCCCGTCATGATGAACTGGTCCTCCGGGGCCGGCGGGAGCTTCCAGTACTTCTTCTTTAGGTTCCCGAGCATCGCCAGGGCGGGGGGAGCCTCGGTTTCCTCGGACGGGAGGCAGACGCCGGATTGGTCGCTCCAGGATTTCTTCAGCGAGACGATCCGGTCCTCGGCGTCTTCCTGCCGGCTCGAGGCGAGGCCGGTCGTCGTCCCCCTTGCTCCCCTCCGCCGGCGCTGCTGGTGCGGCGCCGAGAGGGGCACCGGCCCGTGGACAAGGGCCGGCATCGGTGCAAACGCCGTGGACGAGGCCACGGAGAGYGCCGCCGCCATGGCCGCCTGCGGGGTTCCAAAGAATTTCATTGCGGCGGTTGTTTTGTGGGAATGGAATRRAATMRAMTSAAATCGAATCGAATCGAMTCAAATCAAATCAAAAATCAATAATGCGTCCCGAGAGTCTGCTTTGCTATGCAGTGCAATGGATGATGGATGGATGGAAAGATGGACGGATGGGTCGGTGGACGTCGTTTCCAATCAACAGGGGTGCTCGTGATTATCCGGCGGTTGTGCGGCAATGGGTGTCGTCGTCGAGAACAAGAAATAAGAAGAAGAACCGCGATTTTGCCTTCGCTTCTATTCCGATCGACGGATTTCGAAAGTCGAACATAAATCCATCGAGGCAAAGCAAAATCCATCGTCTTCAAGAATGCTGCACGCCCGTTTGGGTTTCCGACATGAGGAACGAGAGTGTCAACCACAAAACAAAAACACTCCCTTTTGACAGATGGARAGAAAACAGAACAAAGACCAACTGTGGGCATCCTACCGTACCGTACGGTACGTACAATACCATCCTACCGTTGCCGCACGGAACAAAGAACATCRTTGGCCCATTGTTTCTGTTTCTATTTCTGTTTCCGTGTGCGGCGGCAGAAGAAAGAATCCAGCGATGATCCCATTGGCAGAAATCGGAGTCATCCGAAGGTGCGTGGCAAGACCTATGAAACCAATCAAATGTTCTTTCTCTCTCTTAGGTTCGCCAGTAGAGTAAAAAACGGATTTGATTAGTTGGTTTCCACCGTGATGATGAGGGTATCCGATTCTATTCCCAGCGAACGAACCAATGAAAAGGTTCTTTCTCTCGATCCCATGCATTGCCGTAGGGACTATACGGTCCGAAACGAAGCCATCGCCGGGCGATGGAGAAGAAGAACGCCATCGCTTCTCCCCGAACATGACGTCACGTATCGGAACGCGTGCGGGGCCAGACACAAACCCCGAACAAAACGAAACTCCGCGCGATTCTTCGTTCGCACGGTCTTCTCTTCCAGCTACAAACATACCACTACGAGCATACAAAGCACAGACCAAATTTAGCATGCCTTTCTTATCTTACAGTACGAGCACGTACGTAGGACGTACAACGTGATGTTGTGTTACTTGAATTACGGCACAGTACGGTACGGTTCGTACCGTTAGGGTCTGTATTCATTTTGGTCGCGTGCCCAGCGCATGTCAACTCACAGATCGAATTGGGGCTGTTTCCTCTTTCACCAAAGAGGATGAAAAGCAAAGATTCCACAAGGTTACGATGAAACAAACGTACCAAAACATACTTCTATTCCTCGAGACGGAGCGCGGTGTGTGGGGTTCGGTACGGTACGGTAGGTATCTCGTCAAAACTAGTAGTCATTCACACTCCAAAATCCTGACTAAGTTTTTCCCACCAAAAATACTCTCACGCCCGTTACGTACTTTGTGTGTTCTACGAACCGCAAGAACCATCACCTGCTCTGTACAGTACAGTATTTGGCACGGAAGGGAAAGAGCTCCTCGGTACCGACAGACTGTAAAGAAACAACCAATCAGGTGCCATACACAGAGAATTGTCGAGCAAGACATTGGCAAGAAGCAAATCGCAGGACACAGCTGATACGGTGTGAACGACACCGACATCGAATACGCCGAGACCCTTTCCGAACACAACAACAACAGCAGCAACAACGATAAAGCCGACGACGGCAACGACTACGACGAAGACGACGACAACTTCGCCATGGCAAAGGCAAAGACCCTCGTGAGAATGGTTTCGTGGATCGTTCTCGCGCTCGGAATCGCCACGGCTCCCCGCGGCGTCCGGTCCCTTTCCCCCGGCAGCACCGACCCCCTTCCCTTGGGAAGCACGGGCACCGCGAGCGAGCCCACCGCCGTGTCCCCCGAACCAATCCCCACCCGGAGGAGGCTCCTCCGGGCCGCCGCAATGGCCGCCGCGGCCGGCCTTTCTGGCACCCGCAGCGCGGACGCGGCCTGCCTCACGGGGGACACCCGGCCGGTCTGCATCGGCATCTACAAGGTCCCCCAGGACGCCGCCTTTTCCAACTACATCAGCACGCCGGAGCAGCTCAAGGAGTTCGCCCCGGACCTGACCTACGTCCCCCCCACCCCGGCCCCTTCCTCCTACAAGCAGGCCCTGGAAATCCTCGAGGGACAGAGGGTCGTGGCCGAGGGCATCCGGCGGAACGTCGCCGCCGGCAGGCTGGAGGACGCCGGGGTGGGCGTCCTGGGCCTCATCCCCCAGGTCACCGCCAGCGGCCGGTTCGTGGTGGACGAGCTGTCGGCCCGGGTCTACCGCAAGCAGCAGGCCGCAAAGAAGCTCGCGGCAGCCCCTCCCCCCCCGGCCGACGGCGAGGAACCCGAGGCCGTCCGGGAGTACGACGAAAACGGGTACAAGCTCCCCACCACCGCCGACGAGCTCGCCGTCGACATGGCCTCGAACCAGATGGACTACGTCGCCGGGTACTTTGGCGAGTGCGACATCTGCATCGGTCAGGGGATCCGGGGCGAGCTCGGCGTGTCGGCCGTCGCGCAGCTCACCATCCTGGCCTCCCTCAAGGACGCGACGATCGCCCTGGACGACTTTGTGGCGACGGCCGCCTCGCTCGGTGCCCGGATGTAGCGGCGGAGCGAAGCCCGAGAGCGAGTCCCGCTCCGAGCGAAACGAGACCGGGAGCCTCGGAGGCCAACGAGCCGTCCCAAAACGAAGCCGTGTTGGGAACGAATGAATGGTGGTGAACCACGTGGTTTTGGTCACCCGTTTTTCGTTTTGGCACGAGGCCCAAAAAATTCGAACACATCGAAACTCAGGGCATGAGTAGCTTAGTGAATGTACTTATTGAACATTAGTAGATACTCAAAATAGCCAACCGCCTCAAGGTTGAGGATATTGTTTGTAATTTGCGTGCCCTATTCGAAATGCAAATCACCAGGAATCAACATTTCAAACACAAAGTAACATGAGTCGTCCGTTGTAACGAATCCACCTAAAAACGCTCCATTTAGGAAGTCTACTACTTGCTTTAGATATTTGTTGTTTGGGGCATGTAATTCAATTATGCTAGATAATATTATAAGCTATTCTGGGTTGCATTCAACACTGCGACCAAAACTTCAATTTGACCAGCGACTGAAGGCTATGCCACAATAACCGTCACCATCGTGAACTTTGACCTATCACCAATCGAAACTTACAGAGGCCCTCCTATGCTTGCACAGGATATATGTAAAAAAAGAAAAAAGGGGGGATACAACCGTGGTTGTGAACATTGGATTCGGTGTCTTTTACACCGCATACCGATGCGTTAGCCATTTAGGTTAACGCAACATACAATCGCTCGGCAACTAACGCGGCCTACGCCCAGCGTGTAGTTAGGCTCGTCGATTAATCCACGGCGTGACAAATTCCATGCCAGGCCGTCGCATTGTTTCTAAACAATGGCTTTCTAGTGATGCTGGACGGTTCTTTTGCCAGAACACTCAAACAACGGACTCGTTGTCTCTCCTATCAGGAGCCCGGTGACTACACC